GTGCTCCGTGCTCGGATAGCGTCGAGGGAGGGAACAGTGGTGGAGTCGATGGCGCCGTCTGCAATCCACATCCGCCCGTGCTTCTTGCCTCCTCCGAGCCTCATGATCGTCTCTTCATCAATGGGCTCAATGCGCACATTGTAATCTTCCCCATAGATCTCCCTTACCATTGATGTGTACTCTTGGACTTTAGTGTACACGTTTGGGTCGGAGTACACCTAGGGCGGGGCAGCCGGGTCGAAGGAGACAGAGGACGACGCCCTGCCCATGTGGGACATAGCCCACGCAGAGAACTCCGAGACCTCCTCGCCCGGGTGCGCAGCCTCCTGCGAGAAAGACGGGAAGATGGTGAGAAATCAAGCAGAATTGAGCGTCAAAATAAATGAAAGAAATCACTTACGTATGCTTGTTTGTATCCGGGGAGGCTACGGCTGCCTTGATGGTGAGTTGGACCTTGCCTCATCAGATGCTGTTCCCACTGCCTCTCGTGCGTGTCAACAAAGTCCTGTGATAACCACTTGTCCACGATCATGGCCCAGCACTCGGGATACGATCGGCACCACCAGGGAATCACCTACAAGTCATCGAGTATTTGACATATAAGAAGATGAAATTGAACCTACTTAATATCAAAACGAATCATTATGAATGTTATTCGCCTACCTCAAGGTACTGGTCCCGGGTCAGCGTAATCCGTCTTGCTTGAGGCTTGGGGAGGGACTGCCTAAGTACCGACCTGTAGTAGTCTATGTGGGCCTGGACACGCCCATGGTGGTGCATCTCGGTGACGTACTTCCTACAAGCTGCGGCAGCCGCCCGATCCGCCTGGGCCTCAAGTCCTTCTTCGGCCTTGAAATATTTCTGCATACAAAACCGATGTATCCATTCATTATTTCGATAAAAGATTTAACCAATGAATGCGATGTATTAAGCAATGTTGTGCGAGAGAGACTTACCCAAAACTCCGCCAATACTCGCTCCTGCTTGTTGCGGTAAGTGTCATCCGTGACCAGCGCGTACCTGTCCCAGTTGGAGGCCGGCTCCCGCACCACCGGCTCTTCGGACAGTTGCACAATGCCGGGGTACCATTTCCTGCACAAAACACCAAGGATGCTCGCGGGGGTGCGTGCTGGAGTACCCGACAAAACCAACCAGGCCCTGCACAAGTGATTAAGAAAATTTATCAGTTTCTCTTAAGATTTCCAACATATCTTATGAAGTAGTTGTGATAACATCCATAGTTACTTACCTCTTTGCCATAGGCCGAATCACTGAGCGGTTGTGAGGAAGCGGAACCGGAGGGAGGCTCGCGGGACCTCGCTCGTAGAGAGTCCGGGTAGCGGTACCCTCTCCCTCGCCCTCGAGCGCCTCGCCTCCCTTGCCCTCGAGCGCCTCGCCTCCCTCGCCCTCGAGCGCCTCGTCTCCCTCGCCCATCTGCTGACCCCTCTCATCCTCCGACGAGGACGAGGCCGTGGCCGTCACGTGCTCCTCCTCCAGCACCTCGTCACGTGTCGAGGGAGGAGACCGCTGCCTCCTGCGGCGGCTGCCCCTGGTCCTCCTCTCGTCACCTCCTACGGACACTACCCCAGATGACGACCCCTCACCTCGAAGGAGAGGGCGGTCTCTCTCGTAAACCGAGGGCGTGTCACGGCATGGACGTCTGCTCGCCATCTTTGTCCAATCACCTGCAATCACAAAGAATGAACAAGACTAATTAGTACATATATTAGAAATAGATTCAAAATTAGATAAACAAAACACAAATTAAAAAACCATAGTATTACATATATTAGGAATAATCTTCATGATTGGGATCATAGGTCTCATCATCACTGTCAAAATTGTCCAAATGGGCAACACTATCCGAAGGTTCTATGTTGTCATCGTCGTCATTGCCTAGAAGTAATCGCTCAAGCATTGCTATGTCCTTGGCATTTACCACCACATCTCCATTGACCTCGTCATCAACCGTTTCGTTGTCTACTTCCATTTCGATTGCTTCGGGTAAGACTATCTCAAACGTGCCTGGTAGCCCATCTTCTTGATAGAACTGTCCATCATATGTGTTTGCGTTGAAGTTGTAATCATCATCGTTTGGGGCAGGTAGTTTACCATGTCGAGATACCTGGTGCACAATAGCGGAACCCTTAAGATCCTCTTTGTCTTGGTTGGCGTATCGAGTATAATACACCTGCACGGCCTGTTGAGCCACAATGTAGACATCTTTTCCAGGATAGATGGAATCTTCTCGAATCTCCACTAGCCCAAGATGAGGGGTTCGTCTCGTTGATCGAGGATTAAACCAGTGGCATTTGAACATGATAGGTTTAAGAGGTTCGTCTCCATGAAATGAGAGTTCATAGATTTCCTCAATTCTACCATGATAGTCGAGGCCATCAGTGCCGGGTGTACAAACTCTGCTATTTGTGGTTTTTCGTTTGGGCCGAATCTGCTCGTAACTTGTTGTGTGGAAGCGATATCCGTTCACGTCATAGCCGGTAAATGACTTCACCCTAACATCACAGCCGTTTGCAACCTGTTTCAACTCGTCGCTCATGGACGAATCGGTCTGGGCCTGCAAGGTGAATCATGATAGATCGTTATATTAATCAAACGTACGATCACCTTTGATGATCGAACGTATGAGCTAAATTGGACATTACCTTTTGTTTGAACCAAGAAATGAAATCAGGCCTCCTCGCTCCCGCACCCTGCGAAACAAGGGTGTCTTGTTCATGCAAGGTAGGATCCCTTGATTGATGCCAGAATTCACGAACAAATTCCCTGTCCGAACGAGAATCAATGGTGTTGGATGCAGAATAGTGACGGCATATTGAAATAAGTTCGTTGAGAACTTACTTGATGAACGGCTGCACCTCGGTAAGGTTATTCAACACATATAGCATGATACTGCGCCACTCTTCATTTCCCAATAGCTTTGGGGTTGATCCACTTGCGCTGCCGAGTTGGCCTTGGAAAAGGCTCAGGGTCGATTCATTTTCGCCAGTATTGTAACGAGAGGGTGGATTATGATTGCTAGGAAGGTTCGGCTTGTAGTATAGCGTTGTGAAGTTTGCCACCTCCTCCCGAAGGCATGCCTCTGCAATGGAAGCCTCAATTCTGGCTTTATTTGTATATTTTTTGCGAAGAGTCTTTAGACATCTCTCGATTGGATAGCACCAACGGGCCTGCACGCCCCCCCCCCAAACGTGCCTCGGATGGGAGGTGCACAATCAGATGTTGCATCGGCAAGAAGAAGCCGGGTGGAAAGATCTTCTCCAGCTTACAGAGCAACACAGGTGCCGCTTTTTCCAAGTCCTGAGCGACGGTCCCAGATATCTCCTTGGCACAAAGCTGGCGGAAGAAAAAGCTCAACTCTGCCAGCACTTGCCAGACATGCTCAGGGACATAGCCTCGAACCATCGTCGGAAGAAGCCGCTCAATCCATATGTGGTAGTCATGACTCTTCATCCCGTTGACTCGCAGAGTGCCTAAGTTCACTCCCCTGCTAAGATTCGCTGCATATCCATCTGGAAACATTAACATCTGCATCCATTTTAGTACCTCCCTCCTTTGATCGATTTGCAAGACGAAATTGACCTTAGGTCTTTTCCAGTTCTTGTTTCGGCCACTAGGAGATTTGCTAAGATTCGTGGATAGGGACTCAACATGCACCAATTAACATGAATAACATTTTTCGAAACACTACATTGCAATATTCCATGCACCTGCAGTTCAAATTTGACATATTCGAAAAAAATCAAAGAATCGAAATAAATTAAGGAAATATACAAAACAAAATCAAAATTAGCCTAAATTTTAAAATTGAGTTCAAAACATTGTATTGTAGCACCACAAAAAAACTGGGCTAAAAAAACAAAAAAAATTGCCGAGGGCCTGGCCCGTGGCCCTCGGCAAAGAATTTTTTAAAAAAATAAAAAATCTTTGCCGTGGGCCTATCCTGGCCCTCGGCAAAGGGCTTTTTTGCCGAGGGCCTCGCCTCGGGCCCTCAGCAAAGGCGATTTATAAAAAAAAATTGGCTGAAAAACTGGTTTTAAAAAAATCTTTGCCGAGGGCCTGGTCTAGGGCCCCCGGCAAAGACTTAAAAAAAATTGCCGAATAACCTGGTTTCACAGAAAAAAAACCTTTGCCGAGGGCCGGGTGGCCCTCGGCAAAGCTTGACGGAAAATGGCCGCTGTGACCCAACGGGCCTAATTTGCCGAGGGCCGCGGCCCTCGGCAAAGATTTGATTTGCCGTGGGTCTGTCTTTGCCGAGGGCCGTTCTTTGCCGAGGGCTCCTGTGGCTGGCCCTCGGCAAAGAGTGTCTTTGCCGAGTGCCCGAGATTTGGCCCTTGGCAAAGCCTCAGGCCCTCGGCAAAGCACGCGTTTCCAGTAGTGATTCTCTGTACCCCCCCAAAAAAAAAAAAAACTACCGCATGCATGGGTATACACCAAGACCTAGATTAAAGTGGCAAATCGAAGTACTAACTTGGTGCTTCCGGCAATATATATACTTCTGGTGTTTATGGCTAGGTTTTAGCCGTGCACAAATAACTCATCAGAACACCGTACCACACTGTGATGTATAGCTAAATCTCATGATATCAATGCAACAATCATCAATGAGGTCATCACATGATTACATATATCGATGATGTTATTAACTCGTTATTCCATATCATTATCCCTCTATATCTTTATGACCATGTTCAAATCATCATGCATGTAAAAGTGTAGCTTTGTTATCTATCTTTCAACAGACACCTAAATTCACACATTGTTGTGGTGCCATGCTTTATTGTGAATGTTGCATCTGATATGACACAATGCATCTGGGCATCTTAATTTATTAACTAGTTAGAGTCTTGTGATGGTAGTGTTTATCATGATGGCATGAGTGTCAAACACGTACACGTAGTAGTATGCACATACTGATCAAACAAACTTGAAATGTCCCATCTTATGCTTCCCTTCCTCTTCCTATATGTATATATGCCACCATGATAGAGTGTCTAGTGAGTGTTGATTTTAGCCTTAAGGCACGTGCATCCTTGACATGTTTGCTTTTCCACCGTTTGTGTATACGTAGGTTGAAGGCGGCGGCGGCGGCATTGTTGCTGCCAAGATGAACCTAAGCCTGAAGAACTGGCGAGTCCCCTATTGGCTCATTGCAGGTTGCGTGATCGTCATGACCAACCACATCCACGCTGCCCCAAAGTTTATCCCTCCAGAGCTAGCTATGTTCGCATTATTCCTATGTGGCACTGGCCTCGTGTTCCTCGCCATGATGAAGATGATGTGAGAGCGTGTCATAATTCCTAGTCGTCATTATCATTGAATGTTGAACCCAACAATCCTAGCTAGTACGTCTCGTGTCCTCCATGCTACCTATATGGCTATATTGCCTTACAATTTCAGCTTATTTACATGCCTGCATGTGTGAGACAAAGTTTGTGTGATTGTAATAATTCCAGGACACATGCGAACGCGTATATATACTGGAAATTGTTAGACCTTCGTTCTGGCTCGTTTGGTCGTTGCTTTGCTCGTATGTTTCAGACAGATGGTTTATTTGGTAACGCTTCTTAACTATTCTACTAATGTTTGGTATACATCGCATTTGGATTTTCTCAACAGTAGTGTTGAAATGGCTTTATGTTGGATAGTTTGTAGGTTCACAAATATAACAACGAATAAACAGTATAGTTTTAGCTATTACTACTTCATTATCATGCGTGCTTTGGGATTTATTCGAGCACTTGATGTCCTTTTCTAATATGTTGTTAACTGATAGGTACTTACTAGTATCATATATGGCCATTGATTTAATACCTAGTGACTAGTGAGTAGATGCTAGCTAAGAACTAAACCAAACTAATAAGTAGGCCCTAAGTTTAATATATGTCCTGCATGATACTTACTAGTATCATGCAAGCCATGCATGGCCTTACCGGTCGGGGTGCTGAATTGGTGCTGCCAAAACAATGGGAGCCAGGAGTCAGCTATCTTGTTACTCGGGAGGCCGGGACAAAGCCCATCGTGCACGAGAAAAGGGAGGACTTGGCTTCCAGAACCTGGCTACTCAGTCTGCTCCTCAAGTTGCTACTTCGAATTTACAGGCTATGGGTTTCTGCATTTACATACCTTGGCACTCGATCCTCTCGAGAAGGGAGATGTGTAGTTATTCTGAGATAGAGAGAGTAGTTGCTGCATATAGTTAAGTTACTATTATATATTCACAATAAGTTGTCATTACATGAAAACTGTTTGGAAACATATGTAAAATGTGTCTACGCTACAACAGAAAATGATTTACAGAGACCCCTCCCTTCGTTTACAGAGGCTACACTTATTTTTCACCACCTCTATGAATCGCTAGCACTAGTGTAGGACTGAGCATCAGTCCCGGTTGGGAAACCCTTTTAGTCCCGGTTTCCAACTAGGATTGCGAATCCGGGACTAAAGCCCCCCTTTAGTCCCGGTTCTGGAAACTGGGACTGAAAGTGGACCTTTAGTTCCGGTTACTATTATCAACCGGGACTAAATGGGTCCCCAGACATTGCACCAGAGCTGGCACATTTAGTTCCGGTTGGTGTTTCCAACCGTTACTAAAGGTTCTTTTTTTTTCATTTCATTACTTTTCATTTTATGGTTTCTTTTCAATTCAATTCTTTTTGGTTTTGATTAGCTTTTCATATACAAATTCTACGCTGCTAATATACGTCCATATATATGTATGTATAAGGTTCCGTTCGAGCATTATACATAAATAACACACTAAAATATTTAAAACTATATATATACGAATATTTCAATAGAATGTACATGCATGGAATATGTACATAATAAAGTCACAAAAACCATGTACTTATTTCCTTGGGATTTCATTCAACCCTAATCTTTAGTCGTATGGCTACTAGGTAATAATTCTTTAGTTTCATAGTAGTACGCGCCTTTGGGATCTATGACCTCATCCATAAGAAATCTTGACAATGCCTCTTGAATTGCTTTGATCCAGTCACAACGCAGAACCTTTTGTTTCCTCCATTCAATCTTCAATTCGAATGAAAGGAAAAGTATGAATATATATATGATTATATATATCAACACAATGGTAATAAATAAATTGTGTATATTTTTTACGTACTTCGAGGATCTCTTCACTTGTTCTCCTTGAGTACTCCATGAGGAACTCGCAGACGTAGTATCCACATAAGCTATTCCCTGATCCCTGCTGCAGACACCACTTTATGAGAAAAATATTCATCATCAACCAATGAAGCATGGTAATAATGAATTGAACTAAATAAAGATGCGGTGACCTAGCTAGTACTTACTGGGTATTGGACTACATTAGAGGCACTTTCCATTGACCATAATGGCGTTTCTGGATGAACCTTTTCCAAGCACTGCCCGACAAAATAAATAAATGGAATTATATCAATAAAATGGCATAAGAGCGTATACAGTGTGCGAGACCGAAATTGCTACCGGAGAATATCTATTATTTCTTGGTAATCTTCTCGGGGTTTTGTTGCTGAGTCAAAGATCTTTATAATACTACTGGGCATATCGATAACCAGTAGTATCCAGTGATGGCTACATATTTATACGTAGACATAACTCATTAACTAAAGTCAACATGGAGTAAGCAAAATAAAATAGGCACAAGACATTAAGACTCACTTGAAGTTATAAGAGAAGAGTACCAGTGTCTTGTCATGTTGGTTATCTAAAAACCTAAATAGATTATTCTCTACTTGAGGTTGTCATCTATCATATGGAGTAACCGTGTCCTTGAATGTGCAATTCGGATCCATCAAACCAACATCAGTTAACCCTTTTTCTTTAGTTTTAGCATCTCATATCTGCATTTATATAGTACAAAAGAATATATATAGTGTGAGGATAACTATATATAGACAACAAACTAACAAACATGCAAGTTACTTCAATTGTACAAAGAATCACTCACAGACACCAGCAGCTGAGGAGAGATTTGTCGAGAGCGACCCGATATAATAGTTGGTGTAATTCATTGAACACAATATGTAAGACTTCATAGCCATTGAAGTAATGCTCTGTTTTAATTCTGACAATAAGCCATGCCTCTTCGTTGTCACAAGCTCTTAAGTACCACTTGTTTAACAAGAACATTTGCGTACCCAGTGATGACAAGGACTTAGGGTTGACAAGACTCCTACCATACTCATAGGTCCGATAAATATCAAAGTTGGCTGTCGGTATCGATCCTCCCCCAATGAGTTGTTGAGGTGTGAGGCCTGTTGTGGCCATGAAGTCTTGGAGTTCCTCCCTATCGATTGGGCCGCCTTGTGCATTTGTACAATCATCCTCAACCACTAGCGGGTCGATAGATTGCTTAGATTGCTGCCCGAGCTATGCAACATCTTTCCCTACTCTCTTCGCTTTCAGCGACGCCTTATATGACTTGTCAAGAGAGCGTTCATAGTCCGATAATGACGGGGGCTTATGTGCTCATGCTGCTTTTTCTCCACTTTACTAACTCTTTTCCTTAGTTCTTGTTGAGCTATGTAGTGTGGCTTTGGCGGGTTTTTCTGAAGTTCCAACCTCCTTGCTTTTGATACACATTGATTGTAACATTGACCTATATGCAAATAGGTCTTTATTATCGTATATGTAATTTAAGTGTAAGGTCTTTGTTATCGTATATGTAATTTATTTCTAATATTTTTGTTATTTTTTGATGTATTTCTGTACTCTATCTAAATAAATGTATCGTTGTTGTTAAAACTTTTCCACGGTCCTTTACATATATGCACCTTCACTGTTGGTTATATTTAAAAACCGACAATGATATTCACTTTCACTGTCGGTTGTAACTGAAAACCGATAGTGATGTCCATGTCCCCCTATATAAAACAAACCGTCGGCCACATACATCGATCCCACCCACCCACAAACTCTCACAGTCTCATTTCTCATGTTTCACTCTCACTTCTTAAGAAATCCACTCTCTCTCTACGTGATTTGGTCAAGGCTCCTGTATTTTCATTGGTATTGATATGTTGTCTTCTCCAATATTCTATCTATATTCATTTGATCTATATTTATATTCAAGTTTCTTTGCATTCTACATTTATATATATATTCTTATTCCTTGCATTCGATCTATATTTAATTATGTTGCCGCATTTTACTTGGAAGAATTTTTGTGCATATATTTTATGTTCATATTTTTTTTCATTTTATCGATCAGGTGGTATGAACAACGGACCTCCCCCACCACAAGAACCAGGTTTCCACCCTGGCGATGAGCCATTCGCTCATAATGTGGTCATTCCGCGATTCTCTGTTCTAGCTATTGTATGAAATATTTTCCAACATCTTTTGTTTTTTATGCTAACAAATAAGTGTAATTAGTTTAATATCATTGTTGCATACATATATGTCGCAGACTATATCCCCAATAGATTGGCTGCGAACAACACTGAGCTGGTTCTTTATCTCAGACATCTTTGAGAACACGGCATCTAATGCAAGTAGTCAGCTATGGACGTGTGAACTCAGTTTTCCATCCCTTTGAAGGGTGCAAATCATCGGAACCTTATCCATGAGACGGAAAGACAGAGCCCAAACGTGATAAGCGCCCAATTCAGTGCCGTGCACTTCTGTTTAGAGGCACTTCGACGTGTTTGCTATGATGTACCTGATTTCTCGCACTTCAAGACACTTGCTTTGAATGTTGGTGATATCCCCGTCCCACAAGCAAGCGAATGGTTTGCGAGCTAAAATCATGCGGATGTGATAAAATGGTCACTTATACCTGAGTCGTGGTTATTTGTTGTTTATTATTGTAATAACATTCCCTTTTTTTATTTTTCTCCACATGCAGATTGCTTTCCAAGACCTTACCTATGCTACATGTGGCTTGTGGGTCGTTCTAGACCAAGCTACGGAGCAACTCGGGTACGATTAGGACTTCTGCAATGGAAACCTCGGCCATCTCACTATAGAAGGACGCCAGTACTACATAAGGATTACTAACAGGGGTAGTGGTCGTTCAGTAGGTTATATCTATGGCCGACCATTCTTTCGGTATTGTGAGGCACGAGAGAGTGCATTCATACGGGCATTGACCTTCATCGATACAAGCGGATACATAATCCGTGACATCAATTACCATATATGGCTATAGAGGCATGTTAGTGTGCGTGGCCCGATCGATCCCGGTAGTGATTCTGATAGTAATTAATATTTATTTAGCTAGGTTTGCAAGATTATAGTTTAATTGGGTTCTAATTTTAATTTGCATGGCTTGTG